AGACTCGGAATATAGCAGAAGTTGTATAGTCTTCATTAATTTGAAGCCTATCCACTTTTATTGCTTTCTTCAATTTTTTTTCAAGTGAAAAGTGCACGATGTTGGTAAATGACTATTCAGTTTGGAAACTAGAGTAAATTGCTTTTACTTGCACAGTCCATGGGCTCATAAAAAGAGCTCATACCAAAACGGGGTCCCTTAATGTTTTACAGGAAATTTGACTTCCTGTACCTTCAAATGGAACTAATTTGTTTCAGGGAATGGTTTAAGGGTGACGGCTGGCGGCAGCTGAGCCGAGGTTTGTTTTTCAATTCAGCCCCAATATTGCGATGTGTTTGGTGTCAACCGTGACTTTCTTCAAGACTTCTTGCCCTCTCACTTCTAAGCGCCACATTTCTCCCTACAGTCCTGTTTCATTGCGTAATTAAATGACCGCCAAGCTCACACCTGCCAACTGAGGCTTTGAACTCGAACCGTTTGAAGTTCTTTGACCTTTTACCTTATAATGACTTAATTCCCTGGGAACACAATCTGGAAAATATTTTAGAAGTAATGCTCATGAATTTCAATAACGAGTACCAGAATATACTGCTTAGCCTTTCTAACTGTAAAGTTGACATTTTAGACTTCGTTTTTAGGTGTTTTAATTGTGTTTGGCATTAATCAATGACAGTTTGAAATAAAAAAAAACTTCTCATCGGGGTTCATTTTTTATTTTTCCATTGACCATAAAAATCTGGATCAAAGGCCTTTCAGTCTTACCCTTCTTTTTGTTTCCTAATAAGAGTTCTCTCAAGAGTTGAAAAGCCTGGAGAGGAAGAAGGAAAAATGAGACTTAAGTTTTATTGGGCATTTATTTTCATTTGTTTGGAGATTTTACAGCTGGCAAACATACAGAAAAGGCAATCCAAGCTCCGCTTCAGATCCTCAAAGTGTCTGAATCTCAAGTGAGTGTTAAAACTGTAGCCATTGTTTGGGGTCTCGAGTCCCTCAACATGATGATCAATGAGGCCTGAGGGGTATTATTTTTTCTTTCATTGTATGTAAACAGCAAGCGGTTTACATTCAGTACAGTTTTCAGCAAGTGGATCACATCCTTTTGAGCTAACTGGTTAACTATACTATAGACCATTTTGCAAGATGTAAACAAAACTGGTCCAGAAGTACTTCCTGTTTAGTTTTTAACACTACATAAAAGCTGGGTTAAATACAACCAACAGAACATATAAAACTGAATCAAAAAGTTAAACAAACATCTTTAAGATTTTTTCTTTACATGTGAAATAAAGAAAACCGTTACAAACTGAAACAGGAAGTGTTTCTGGACCAGTGTTGTTTACATCTTGCAAAATGGTCTATATAAGGTAAAGTTTTTTCCCCCTCGAGGTTTGAATAAAAAAAAAACAATATTTGTAAATATTTTTCCCCGAAACATTTGGGTTTTTTTGTTTTGCAAGCTGCGAAACAAAAGAAAACAAAACATATTTGTAAATATTTTTCCTAAAACATTTGTTTTTTTGTTTTTGTTTTGGAAGCTGCGAAACAAAAGAAAACAAAACATATTTGTAAATATTTTTCCCAAAACATTTGTTTTGTTTTTTGTTTTGCAAGCTGTGAAACAAAAGAAAACAAAACATGTTTGTAAATATTTTTCCCCAAAACATTTGTTTTTTTTGTTTTGTTTTGCAAGTTGCGAAACAAAAGAAAACAAAACATATTTGTAAATATTTTTAAAAAAAAAAAACATTTGTGAATTTTTTTTTTTTTTTTTTTTTTTTTTTTTTTTTTAAAGAAGCAATATCTAGTGTAATAAACTATGACTGTTTTGGGGCAAGGTTACATGGGCAGTATGTTTTTATTAGTGTACCATTGAGGATGTCATTATGATGTTTTGTAACAAGTGTGTGTGTGTGTGTGTGTTCTCACTGTCCAGACCAGTGTATGTATGGAAATACAGTGTCATTTCAAATACCATTGTTCCTTGTTTTTGGAATACAAAGACACTCATTTGTTCTTAAGTGACTCTCTATGACTCGATTACTCTTTGTCTCTTGTCGTGACGTGAACGTCTCAAGAATACATCGAAACTTAAAATGGCTTGTTTTGGATAAGTATTTTGCACCATTGCATTTCAACTTTTCTCAAGGATTTAGTTCAACATCCCTAGTGCTAAAACTTTACAATAAAATTTCAATTAATGAATTTTTTGTTGTCATTCAGCTTCAAGATTAACTTGAACCAACAATTCAATTCAGTAAATAAACCTTTTTTCTCTGTCGGTAAAATGACAAAAGATGAGTTTTAAACCAGGTAAACTTCTAATTTTCTTGTACGTTTCACTGGTGTTCCATGTGTTTTCATTCATCAGTTAGTCACCTAGAACATTCATTATGAAATTTCGATATTTTCTACCATGTTTTATCCAGCATAATGCTTTGTTGTTTTAACAACAACGACAACAAAAAACATTTGTAAACATTTCTTTGAGAGAACTTTTTTCTCGTTGGAATATATTATTCTAAATTCTGTTCGTAAGCTCCATATGTACAAATTATGAGCTTGTTTGTATATAAATATTTAATGGTCCTTGTAGAATAATATTGAAGAATAATCCATGTGTAAATATCACAGTGAGCCCAGAGTTAAATTTTGTGATGGACCTGACCATCTGTCTCACAAATGCTCTTGTACATTGTAATACCGCAGTGGTATAAATGGCACTTGGGCATAGATTTGTGTGGGATGCTGCTCATCCATATTTAGACAAAAACTGAGTCAACCATAATGTCCAGAATCTTTTTTTTTTTTTTCACATTCCTGCATCTTCCTGACACTCCGTCCCTGATGCTGACTGGAAGAAACAATGTACTTTACATTCTTAGCCTGCTTAACATATCTACACAAGTATATTCCAGTCAAACAGCAGAATATTTTCTGGCAGTTAAAGATATGCAAATTTACTAGAACTGACTGTGTTATTATATGTCCAGAAAATGGAATTACAGGAAGTAGAATTGCTCTTTAAGTGCTGTGGCTTTGGATCACATGGTTGGAGAGTGTATTTGTAACATTTCCAAATGTCTCAAGGACCTTTTCCATTCATTAAAGGATCACGCTGTGGCAACATTCAGACATGTGCATCTCCAGCCACATCAGTCCACGACCAGGGCGTTGTGGAAAGGATGTCTAGGCTGTGGGTGTGTACAGGAATGTTTATGATATGGCACACAACATGTTTTGGGTTAAGACTGTGTGGTCAGGTGACTTCCTCATAGCTGTGGGATAAATGTGTTTCCATGTGACTCTGGAAAAAAGAGGTACTATAAATACACGCTGCTTCCATGACTGAATCTCAGTGTTACTAAAACAGTCTATATAGTCAGTTTTGGAACATAAACCGGCAACCTTCTGATCTCTCTTTTGAATCCAACATGGAAGTGACTTAAACTGCAATTCAACGACTGACCACTAGAGACAGGCTTCAAAAGAGAGTCAATCCAATAGCCCCCATCCATGTTAAAATGTCCTTTACAGCAGAAAAAAAATATGCTTACAGACTCGTACAAAAAGTGGTTTTGGTCTATTTAGCTAATTTTGGCCTTTATGATAACTGTGAGGGGTGAATTTGTTTTTATAACTCACTTAAGCCTTAAAGTTGTGCATAATTAAGGGCTTGGCCACTTAAGTGACGGGTGGATTGACGCTGCTGTCACTACTAGCCGTTTGTCCCCTGTCTGTTAGCGTCACGTCACCTCAGCTAATTCCGCTTCTTTGACGCGCTGCCAAGATGGCGACGGCCGGCTCCCCCCACTTTGGGTTTCAAAAATGCTCTTCAGAAACATACGGGTGACGTCACGGATACCGTCACGGATACAACATGTAACAGTATATTGGATCCGCGCATAAGCTCTTAAAGTGACAGCAGCCTAATAAACCTGTCTGTCATTTTAATCAAAGAACAACAAAAAACTACAAGAGTTACAAAAAGTTACAACTTTTGTAACTGTAATTGTAAGTATTAATCTGTATTTTTCAATAAAATAACACTGTATAGTCTTCACATTTGATTACTCAAATTTCTGCAGGGTTTCTTACCTGAATACTACTGTTAGACCCACATGAAAAACTTAAATCCATGTTGATTTAATTTGTCTCTGTATTATATTGTATTTATTTGTCCTATTATTTGCAGTTTGTTTATTTTTTCAAATTTAATTCAACTATTCAAATAAAGCCTTCCTGTGCTGTGTGTAAGTCATTACCACACAATTGTCCAAAAATTATGAGATTATAAATTATTTGAATGGAGGTGTATATATGGCAACTTTCCCTGTGATATCGAAAATGGTATCGAATTTCAATACTTTATGATGTAAATACATTATTATTTTTTTTGGTATTAAGGTGAGAAATGGTTAGGGAAATGTGCTTAAGAAAATAATGCCACAATGGAAAAAAATAATTTTGGCTATTTGGTTACTTTAACAATAGCAAAAAACATGACATCTCACCCAAAATTTCATTTATTTCATTGGTCAGATCGGTCAGGTTGCGCTGCATCAAACTAAAAAAACGAACCTGAGGCGTTTTTTTTACAATGACACTTTTACGTGTTGGTGTGAGCACTCACATTGGCGCCCTTTGTTTAGTCACGAGGCATTAAAAGTCGGCGAATATATCGCGGGCGAAATTCGTTCCCGGTGTGAACAGGCCTTTAGACAAAGAATTTCCACGACATTTATACATGTAAATATATACATTATAATGAAAACAATATAATGCTGGTTTTGTTGACATATATTTGGTTATGAGAAATGGCTGTAAAACATGTACTTTAATTATCATGAATATATTGTTTCTTTTCTTTTCTTGAGGTGAAATATGACCCAGACAGGTTCATTCCAGGTTGCAAGAGATTCACCCTGTATATTCTCCACATGTTAACTCCTCATTTATGAAGCAGATATTTATCTCTCTATGTATTCTTCTTATTCCTGTAGCTTCTCTGCCCTTTGTTATAATGAACATCACGTCCCGGCCATACGAGCGAGCGGTCAACTGCCAGGACGAGAGCATCGGTTACCCTGTTTTACCGGACACCATCACGCACGTGACGCTGGCTGTGGTCACCATCACCTGCACTATCATTATCGTGAGTCTCTCCCATGATCTCATCATCCCTTGAGTCACATGCTGATCCTCAACAAAGTGTCCGTTCATGACTCTGCACAGAAGAGGGGTTTATTATGCACAACAACACAGCATTTTGTTCTCATGGACTTGCTTGACACATTATGACAAACCTAATGTAGCGTAACCGTTTTGATCCTTGTTGAAAGCTACAGAAATGCATCACGTTACTTAACTTTTACCTCTTCTGTTCCTCTAGATATCATCGGGGGAAGCGTATCTGGTGTACAGCAAGAAAATTCACTCTAACTCTACCTTTAATCAATATGTGTCGGCCATCTATAAGGTGCTGGGCGCCTTCCTGTTTGGGGGAGCTGTCAGCCAATCACTGACGGACTTGGCTAAGTACACCATTGGGCGACCACGTCCACATTTCATTGCAGTGTGTGCTCCCAAAGTCTGCAAAGGATACGTGGCTCCGATCAACTGCACTGGCGACTCGCGTCTTGTGACTGAAGCCAGGTATGTCTCGCAACATAAATCCTTTTAACGCGTTCATTTCAGTGAATTTCTGTCAACTATATGTGATTTGTGTGTCGTAGGTTGTCCTTCTATTCAGGTCACTCCTCCTTCGGGATGTACTGCATGCTGTTTCTAGCGGTGAGTGGTGTAGCAATCGAATGCTAACCCGCTAAACTGGGGTGCGTTTCCCGAAAGCATCATTAGCCAACTATGGTCGCAATTTCCATTGAACTCTATTGGCAACGACGCAACTTGCGACCATAGTTGGCTAACGATGGAGTTTGGGAGTGGGACTATGTGTTTTTGTGACCAATGGGAAATGGGGGAACATGTTTGAAAATAGGCTTTATTTCTTCAGTTGGGTTTGATTTCACTAGAGTACACAAGTACAGATCTAACCCTCTGGTGCTTTTCAGTCTTTTTGGGCTGAAAGGTTTTACTTTTTTTTTTTTTTTTTTTTTTTTTTATTTTTACTTCATCAGAATGGTATGAAACTTGGTAAAGGTTTTTCACACATACAATCATGGAAATGATTCAAAAAGGTTAAATGGTCCTGAAAAAATGTGTCACTCTGGGAAACGAAATTAATCTAGTGGAAATGTTTGGTACTGCGCCCAAACAACATCTTACTGAAAGCTCCTTGTTTGATCAACCTCAAATTTGCAACAAACCTTGTTTATATTTATGGCTTTGATTTTCTCACAGTTTTAAAGTAAAATGTGTTTTGGAAAAAATATGTTTCAATATTTAAAATATTTTATATTTAATAAACTTAAAGGAGTAGTTCACTCTTAAAAAAAATTTTGCTGATAATTTACTCACCCCCATGTCATCCAATATATCCATGTCTTTCTTTCTTCAGTCGAAAATAAATTAAGGTTTTTGATGAAAACATTCCAGGATTTTCCCCATATAATGGACTTCAATGGGAACCAAACTGTTCAAGGTCCAAATGAGAGTTTCAGGGCAGTTATAAAGGGCTTTAAATGACCCCAGACGATGAATAGCATCACCAGAGGGTTAAATGTGTGGTCACTTTTACTGTTTTTTTTTTTTTTTTTTTAGCAAATTCAGTCATATCAGTATGGATCATCGTGACCCAAATTCGCAGTGTTTCCCAACAGAAAGCTTCAAAGAGGCTTGTATGTGAGCTGTGCTTCATAAAATTCGGTCCCATTCAACAATTTTCCAAAAAGGTCAATTTGTCAAGTGTAGCATTGTAACATTGTATGACATAAATAGGACACAATTAGAAATAGATGGTTAAAGTTAAAATATGTTTTCAATATAGTTAAACAAAAATTAAGTTTCAATTTGTGCAGGTATTTAGAGTAATAGGAGTTTTTCTTTGCAGAGTTTGCAAAACCTTGATCTAATTTAACGAAACTATTAGAGAACAAAACAAAATCACTATTTGCTTTTGTTATTTCTTCTCAACAAATCTTTTTTTTCCCCTAGTTCTATGTCCAGGCCAGACTGAATGCGAAATGGGCCCGTCTTCTGAGGCCAACCATCCAGTTCTTCCTGGTGGCCTTTGCTGTGTATGTCGGTTACACCCGCGTGTCCGATTATAAGCACCACTGGAGCGACGTGCTGGTGGGGCTCCTCCAGGGGGCGCTCATTGCAATTCTCATTGTAAGTTAACACTTAGAGCAATTTTACCCAAAAATGTTACATCTGTCATCATTTCCTCACCCTCTTGTTTTTCCAAACCAGTATGACTCTCTTTCAAATCTCAAAACATTTTTTGTACCCCACTGAATATTTCCTCTGGTAAAGTGACCCAAAAGTAAGAGGACGTTCAGCTTAAAGTGTAGCATTGTGAGGTCATTAAAGGGATAGTTGACTTTGAAATTAATTTTGCTATGTTTCAAGGGCATCCAAGATGTAGGTGTCTTTGTTTCCACAGTAGTTTAAATTTTGTTATTTTTAGGTTAAACCGTTCTTGTCTGTCAGTCATATAATGGAGGTCTATGGTCACCACCTCAAAAAGCGTGCACAGAGAAGTCCAAATTAAACATGATTTAATGACTCGTAAAGGTAAGTACACATTGATGGCCTAAGACACTAAGCGAGCGGTTTATGTGAGAAATCGAACAGTATTTATATCATTTATACCAGCCACAAAGCACCCGCGCCCTCAGACCACTTGGACGTGGCTGTGGTTACAAGAGGTAAAAACGATATAAATACTGTTCGTTTTCTCACACAAACCACTCGTTTTGTGTCTTAGGCCATCAATGTGTACTTACATTTACGAGTCATTAAATCATGTTTAATTTGGACTTCTCTGTGCACGCTCTTTGAGGTGGTGACCATAGACCTCCATTATATGACTAATAGACACGAACGGTTTGACCTGAAAATATCAAAATTGAAAATACTGCAGAAACAAAGACACTTACATCATGGATGCCCTTGAGGTAAGCTAAAACATACCAAAAATGTATTTATTTGTCAACTATCCCTTTAACTCTTCTAACATTCCTTGTCTCTTACAGGTGCGATACGTGGCAAATTTCTTCAAGGTCCGTCCTTCACCTCAATACTCGAGTTCAGAGACAGAAGCAGAAATCGAGGAGCAGAAACGCAGCTTTCGAGGTGGAGCACCATAACCGTTTCGGCTATTACGGACCTGTGTGAGAGAAACGAGAACAAACACTCACACTACATCTCCCACAAACCACTGGACTGACGGGAGGGGGGCGGAGCAAGACTGCACATGCTCACAATGGTCCTCCTTGAAAAAGCTTTAGTGTCTGTTCCTTTGTTTCAAGTGAGAGAGAACTCTTTATACGTATTTAATCAACTTATTTTAATCAAAATGATTTGCCGCAGATACCAGATATTGAGGGACTGAATCTGTTTTTTAAATCTGCGTTCTGGATCAGGTTTTACGTACCATGTATCATCTTTGATTGAATTGTAAATGCCTCGCCTTTATCTTCGACGAACCAAACAGAATCCCATGTTCTGTGGTTAAAAATGTTGGAAATCATTTGTATTTTTCCAATATTAAGTGCCTTAGTAGTTATATCTAGTATATAATTATAAATGGTAATCTGGATTGCAGAAACTGAATAATGTCATAAAATTGGTAGGATATCTTTTTTTTTGGTCCCCCTATGTTTAATATATAAAATTGAGATACCACTACAGCATCTGCAAGCCTTGCTTAATTTTACATTTTCAGATTCATTGAACTTTGTAAATTGTTGTTTACATTTGTCTAAATTCCTATTAAATTTTTGTAATAATAATCTGCTTGTTGTTATTAAGTACCACACTTTAATATTATGTATAGCACTACTCTAAATGATAAATATCATTTTGACTACATTTGTATTAGTGTACTTGGTACATTTAATGTTTGCCTATCCAATTAGCATATTTTAAGTACTATGTCAATAATATATGTATTTATGTAGGCATGAACAAACTCAATCCACATGCAAACTTTAGTTTTACATAACCTAAAGGACAGATCAGCCAGAAGTGGTTGTCAAACACTTCTGATCTTATTCGGTTTGCAAATGTAGTTTACTTTAGCCATGTTCTACTGGGCACGTCCAGAACTCCAGTAGTCAGAGATGTATTGATGACAAATGAGCTAAGCAAACTTTGTTTTCTTTCCAAATAATGTCTCTAGAGTTCAATCAGACCACCAATTACAATTTCATGTCAGAGGGAAGACACTGAGAAAGAAAAGAAATTTGTTCTGTGACTAGAGCTTTTAATATTCATTGCTGGGGGAAAATATATATATAATGCAATCATATCTGACATATACTGTAAAGCTTCATTGTTAAACACATCCCTTTAAAAATATGTATATACATTTTTATTAAATTGCAGTTCTGCTTCCTTTAATTCAAATTATAATTCTAGATCCTATTTTTGACATCAATTCAAATTCAAGAAGTCATTGTCAATTCAATTCTGAATTGTGCACAAGCCTGGCACTCGGTTATATGTTGGTATGCACTGTAATCGCTAGTCAGGATGGTAACAAAACTTCCATCCTACCCTTGTGTTCCTAAACTGCAATGGTAAGACAAAACCCCTCTTCCTACTCTGTTGCGTTCCTTTTACCTCAGCTGTAAGTTGTTATTTTGTGGGTTTCGATCTGGCCTGATGCCTCTGCTTATGCAAGATTGGGGTTTAGAAAATGTCAAAGAAAGCATAGGCTGTTCTAACATATATAGCAACTATATTTGTTTGGGGATTATTGTAGGTCTGTTGTTGTCACACTACTGTGTTCAGAACCGTTTTAGCTATGTGTAACCAGCCGTACTCGACCTGCTCCGAACAGGAGTCTCCTGCGTGGGAGGTGGGCACGCTAACATGGACGCTAAAGCCCGCAGCTGCTAGCGTGCTCCTTGAGAACAGGGGAGTGAGGTTTACACGCACAGCACTTACTGGCCTACATCCGTTACATTCACCCCCCAAACCTCAATCCCAATCGGGTCACGGCACCAACGGAACCAGTCCTACTTGGCCTGCTCCGAACAGGAGTCTCCTGCGTGGGAGGCGGGCACGCTAACAGGGACGCTAAAGCCCGCAGCTGCTAGCGTGCTCCTTGAGATCAGGGGAGTGAGGTTTACTCGCACAGCTCTTACTGGCCTACATCCGTTACACTCACCCCCCAAACCTCACTCCCAATCGGGTCACGTCACCAACGGAACTAGTCCTACTCGACCTGCTCTGATCGGGATTCGAACAGGGGTTTGGAACTTGCGACTATAGATGGCTAACGATGCTTTCGGGAAACGTACTCCAGGAAGTTCTTTTAGTCAGTGTGCAGCAACTGTACTGCATTTCATGTTATAGCCTGTTTCATTTGGTGAAGTTCATAATGTTTGCTAATGTTATTTGGTGTTCCCTCAAAAGGAACTCCTATTTATTTTTACAATTAATATGCCATTTGAAATTTTTTTAATACATTTACATGTATATTATGAAGGTCATTTCCACTACAATTGAATACTGAGAAGTAATGGTGACAGTTGCATTTGGGTGAAACATGAGCTCGCAAGTTCCTTATTATAAGCCCCTCCCCATTTAAGAGAAGTAGCGGCACAGTTTCAGCGTTGTTGGTGAGTATGTGAAACTGTCTAAATCGCCAGTTGGGCGCTAACATTTTTAAGAATTCTACCAATGCGAAATTGTGAAAACAAGAACAAACGTGAACGGGAACATTGACGAGCCAGTGCTGCATCATCACTAAAGTTTAAGCCTAGAAAATTTTTTATATTCAAGTTCAAGAAAACACGGAAGGAAATTCAATTCATTACTTGCGCGCAGTGTGGGAAGTTTTCGGAGTGGAAAAATCCAAAGCAAATCCGTGTCTCAGACAGTGCGCGAATACTGAATTAAGCTCTCTTTCAGGTCCTCTTGTGCTTGAACAGATATATTCATACAAAATTTTGTCAAAATACCCGTCTTGACAAGTATCCTTGTAAACATAGTCAGTCTTGTCTTAACTGAACGTAAACAGTTGAGAAATAAAACACATATGTAACATTATATGTTTTATGTTTATGTTTATTTATTTATATAGCACTATTAATACACAACCCAAGTTGAACCAAAGTGCTTCACAAACAAATTCCCATGAAGGATAAAAATAAAGACATACTTCAACCAGTTAAAATATCACATATTAAATATCACATCTACTCATTGTAGGCTAAGGACATTAGATATGATTTACACAGATGCTTAAAAATCGGCAGTGATTTTGCAGATCTAATAGGCAACGGTAACTCATTCCAATGTTTCGGTCCTATTACCGCAAATGCCCGGTCACCCTTATGAAGAATGAATATTGGATATGTGCTTAGCTCTTAAAGTGACAGCAGACAAATATTCCTGCTGCTGCCTGTGTTTTTAATGTTAACTCTTTCCCTGCCATTGACGGAATGTTCCGGCTTTCCGTGTTTTCACTCTTTCGCTGCCATTGACGGAATGTTCCTGCTTTCCGTGTTTTCGCTGTTCCAGCTTTCCGTTTTGTCACTGTTTTCTCTCTTTCCCCGGCATTGATGGAATGTTCCGGCTTTCCGTGTTTTCACTGTTCTGGCTTTCCGTGTTTCCACTGCTCTGGCTTTCCATGTTTTCACTGTTTTCACTCTTTCCCCACCATTGACGGAATGTTCCGGCTTTCCGTGTTTTCACTCTTTTACTTGCCATTAACAGAATGTTCCGGCTTTCCGTGTTTTCACTGCTCTGGCTTTCCATGTTTTCACTGTTTTCACTCTTTCCCCGCCATTGACTGAATGTTCCGGCTTTCCGTGTTTTCACTGTTCCGGCTTTCCGTATTTTCACTCTTTCCCCGCCATTAACGGAATGTTCCGGCATTCCATGTTTCCACTGTTCTGGCTTTCCGTGTTTCCACTGCTCTGGCTTTCCATGTTTCCTATTTTCACTCTTTCCCCGCCATTGACAGAATGTTCCGGCTTTCCGTGTTTTCACTGTTCCAGCTTTCCGTGTTTCCGTGTTTTCACTCTTTCCCTGCCATTGACGGAATGTTCCGGCTTTCCGTGTTTTCACGGTTATGGTAGGGGGCACTATGTAAGTACCAGCTCCAGTTTCAGCTCAACCAGAGGGCACACTGTAATGGTAGGGGGCACTATGGGGGCACTATGACACTATGACTCATTGCTCTTGACTGAAAAACTTTTGGAATTATTCTGTGTTTCATGGCTGGTAAAACATATTTATGGCTGGTAAAATTTCTTAAGTCACCGGTGGCAGGTGTGGCAAAAAGTTATCACCTTTTTTTTTTTGTTTTTTTTTGCGGAAAGAATGGCAAGTTTTCACATTAAAGTGAGTATTGGTGAGTTTTGGCTAGTTTTCTAAATTTGCAATGTTTCTAAAATGTCAATAGCCTGGTACTGTATATCTCATAACTTTGTTCATTTACATCATTTTTGGGTTTCTCGTTTACTGCTTATAAATGCAAGCCCAACTGCTACAAAAGGTACTTGGTTGTTAGAATAATTTCCTACAGTTCATTTTTGCCCAGAGAAAGCCTTCTTCCTTTATGGAAATAGTCATTTTGACTCATATGTGGCATATAGCCTGGCAAAAGTAAATAATCCAGAAGGGCTTGTGTTCATTTTGAAATGCACCGAGCTGGAGGCCCAGAGAGACAATGCTACACTTCTTCCAGCCCAGGGGTCAGTGATGCCTGGCTCCCGGCCATACCCACCACCGGCTGGATGGGTTATATATTTATACTCGCTCACTGTTGCTGCTGTTCTCTGCGGGTCTGCGAGGAATTATTACAGGTAAAACACATTGGACGGTTGTACACGTTGCAAGTTGTCGACAGTCGCGTAAAATGGAGAAAATACAAGTCCTTTGACCAGCCAAAAGCATACTTGAGTGAAACTTAAAGTTTCCATATTTAATTGTGTTTTAAAGTTCAAAGTAAACGTTTCCATAGCTTTTTATTAAGGTTATAATTAAAATAACTTTGATGCACAGATGCTTAATCCAATGAAAACCTGTCCTGAACACTAGCCAAGCAAAATTTCCTTCTTACTTACACAGAAAAGCATGTTGTGGTGGTCAAGACAAGTAGACTTGTATACTGAATAAATTTGGAATTGTATACCTACAAATTACAGTCA